AATTATGGTATTAATGAAGAATATTGAAAGGACCTTGGGTTGCCAGAAGAACAAACAAGTCTATGTTGGAAGACATACAGACAGATGTTCCTTAAAAGTGAGGACGGTGACTCTTTGTCTCTCACACTTTGGACATGTTGTCCCTGCAGAAGAACATCATTCTTGGTAAAGTGGAGGGTCAGTGAAAAAGAGGAAGATTCCCAATGAGATGGGTGGACACAATGACGTGACAACAATTGTGTGGATGGTGTAGGACCGGACAGTGTTTTGTTCTGTTTTGCATAGGGTCAGAACAAATTCGACAGTACCTAACAATAAAAACAACTCGATTTTCAACTCCAGATTTTCTATGTGGTTTCTCTTTGTGATATTAATCTCTTTATTGATTTTCTCATTTTATGTTTAATTTTCATAATTTCCTTGAATTATTGGCCCATGCTTTTCTTTATCTTAGAGTTTAAGTATATTTAAGACAGTTAATTTAGAGCCTTGACTAGTAATTCCAGTACCTGGGTTTATTCAGAGATAGATTTTGTCAAGTTCCTTTTTTTCCTGTGAGTGGGTCATACTTTCCTGGTTCTCTGTATAATTATTTTATTTATTTATATATATATATTTTTTTTTTTTTTGAGAACTGGGCATTCTAAAATCAGACCCTCTCATTCTGCCAGGATTGCTATTTTCACTTGATACCAGCTCCAGTCATCTATTTGTTTAGTGACTTTTCAAACTAATATTGCAAAGCATGTAAGCCTATTGCTTGCTATCACTGAAGTTTCTCTGCAGTTTAGCTGTTACTTGAAAGATCTCTCTCTCTCTCTCTCTCTCTCACACACACACACACACACACACACACTAGCACATTGGCCTTTTAAGCTGTTGCCACAAGGAGAAGCCAATGTTTCAAGAAGGCTGAAACCATGGCAGACATCTCTATATATATCTTTCTCTGGACACCTTCAGACGAACTTAAATGTGTAACTCCAAATCTTTGGACAACAAGATCCTACTTCCTTCCCAGGCACCCGCTAGATGCTCTATGGATGTGGCAACCATCTCCAGCACTGAGGAGTCGGGCGTGCTCATTGGTTGATGTGTGTGGTCCAGTTATAAAGATCAATAGTCTCTCCTTTCATCAGGCACACCCTTGGCTAACGTATGTTGTCAGTAAATTTCCAGAGTTCCAAAACAGTTTATTCCAATTACTTTTTCTAGTTCATTGATTATTTTGGTAAGGAGACTGAGCCCTAGAGCTTCCTACTTCTCTGTTTTGCATAGAAACAGAATATTTCTATTAAATTTTAAAACAATCTGTTTGAATATGTTCAGTGGCAAAGTCTTGTCATCTTAAGAATATCATATGCCTCTAAATAATTCAAGTCACTTGTAAAACTCATCAATAAATGTCACATCTTCATATTAAAATTATATTCCTAAGCATTGTTTTTGTGCCTGCGTTCTGGCATGACTGACTTAGCATTGATTGTTTTATTCCTAGTGGAAATTTGAGAACACCAAAACATTGCAACAGTTAAATGGCATTACACACATTTTATTTCTCATGAAATGCAATCCCCAAATGGTATTTTAAAAACTACAAGTACTGCTCTTAGCCCTCTGCAAATGGAAAACTCCAAATTGTCCCAACAATTCCAAATTCCATGTTGGTTTTGGCTACTGGCTAAACTCAAATCTCTGTGGAGAGTTTTCCGGTCATTTGTTCTAGCAACTGAAGGAGGTACTTTGGCCCTACATAAATAATACTGATCAGTTGTTGAGAGTGGCTTGATGATGAAACTGGATCAGTAATCCTTAGGGGCAATCATACTTGATCAAAGATTCCTATCAAACCCTAATCATAAAGATAAACTCTGACTGACTAGATTAAAAGACATAGGATCAGCCAGTTGGATTCCCAAAAGGCCATTTGAGTAAGGGAATTTTATGTGTATTTCCGAGTTTTCTGAATGCCAACATGGAAGCATCTTAGTAAAAAAATCAGTGATCTCTGTTATACCTTCTTGGAGTAATGATCATGAATTTATATTTTTATTCTAACTGGAAAAATTATTACATGGTTGGGGTGGGGTACTTTGAATCTACTAGATATAGCTTTGCTATCCAACCTCTTTATTCCCACCAAATGATTGGGTGGGACCATGCATATAGGGTATACGGGATCCTAATTCTGGGATTGGTTAGCTTGGATAGCCAATAACTTTAAAAGAAGCCATCTCAGAAGCAGGAACAGACAATCCCAAGACCATCAAGAAAGACAGCCTGAGTGGAGCATGAATTAAATCCCTCTCTAGGGACAGTAGAGGTGGTATCAGAGACTGCAGCATGGAGAACCAGGGAAGCTCAGGCTTCTCGGCCCATGGTCCCAGGGAAGCTGAGTGCCTACGGGCAGGAGGCTGACATGCAGAGTGTGTCCTTTGGGCATTTATGTTGGTGTTAAGTGTCGTCAAGTCGATTCTGACCCATGGCGACCCTGTATAGCGTTTCCAATGAACAGCTAGTGAGTTTGAACTGCCAACCTTGCAGCTCAAACGGCTTTGCAGTCTGGCGCATTAACCCACAGTGCCATACCAGGACATTTATAGGCCAGCTGAAAGAGCTTTGCAACGCTTGCTGGAGCAGGGCTGAGGTCAAGGGGCCACATGGCTGAGTGGGCTGAAGATGAGAGCAAGGCATGCCTTTAGTATAACAGAAAAGAGGTGTTCCTGTTTGGAAAACTGTTGCATCCTATATTGTTTCTGACCTCAAATGCCCCATAATCATGAGTATTGTTATGAGTTCTATGTGGCCTTTGCAATGGATTATCGAACCCAGATGTGAGGCAGAAAATGCTGTGGAGGAATGGTTAGTGTAAGAATAGGGTAAAGAAGATGAGGAGGAGACGTGTTTGACCTCTACTTTACAGGAGTCTTGGGCTAACTTCGAGTCTGATTCTCCTTCTCCCCTGAGAAGCCGGACGAAGTCAGACACAGTTCCCACATAGTTTTTGCAGTTGAGTCAAGAGCAGCATTTGGGGCCGTAGACTCATGGAAACATGAAGTTTTGTAAGAGAAGCAACAAAGGGGCATGGGAAGTGAGACTCTGGATTTTTAGATAGCTATATTGGTTTCTGTTACCAGTAATGGCTGAAAGGAATATAAGAGATAAAATGCTACAGCTGAGGGGAGAAAAGCAGTTTCTGGAGCTGTCTGAAGCTGAAGCCACACTGGATAAATCATGTGACTGATTGGGGGCCAAGGCCTACCAGCCTGCCAGAGGCCCAAGGCCATACACATATGAATGGACTAAGTCCAAGGAGAAAGAAAAGATTGCACTTGAGTGTTTATGTATTTGACTATTTTATGGAAATTGATTTCTCCTGCCACGGTTCACGCTCACCAACCACTCCTCAGAAACCTTCTACAGGGTCACTATGGGTTAGAACCTACCCAACGGCACTTAACAACAACAACCATTGTAAAATAGCCATACTGGGGATGATGATGACAGAGAGTTTGTAAACCAGCCTTCAGTTTATATTTGATTGGATTTGCCAATGGGAGAGTTGGAATTTGCCCAGAAGAAAAAGGCTTTTTGTTTGTGGGTTAATGCGCTGGACTGCGAGGTCAGTTTGAACCACAAGGTCAGCAGTTCAAGCTCACCAGCTGCTTGGAAACCCTACACAGGGTTGCTATGGGTCGGAACCAACTCGACAGCACTTTACAACAACAACAGACTATCACAATGATGTTCTATTGAGTGTGCTTTATTAATTCGAATTACTGGCCTTTTGTTCAGAACACTTAACCCTTGTGCCATAAAGATAACCAAATACAGTAACCGTGCCTGGTAGGGATAAGTTCAGACAGTCAGCACAACTTGAGATAAACAAAGCAACAAAGAAGTTTCTGGAGTTCCTCGGGCTCCCACTTTACACCCAAGATCCCTATAAATCCACATGCCCCCTTTACCTCAGGGAGATATCTGGAAGACGTCCACACCCCTGTTCTCATAAATATCGATCATCAATAAATGCTTTGCTCTTTGCTCTGAGTCCTGTCTCTGAATATTGGCTACATCATCACCAAGTGATAAAGAACCTTTTTCCTGGGTACAGTAGGCAGTTCTGTGCCAAGGTGAGGGCATTGGTGCTAACACAGGTCCTCTATAATGTCATTTCATCCCACTCATGCTGTAGATACTTCTAGTTTGAAGGCAGGAATGAGCAAATTGCCTATGCTTCTCATCAGTCAGTCTGATGCTCACAGCCCCTTGTTGCCCTACATCAGGCTGACGGATAAACAGCCCAGGAAACCAGCGAACACGAACTGTCTTGCTTGAAAAATGGGGGGTTGCTCCTCTACACTGGTAGATTGAAAATTCTTTAATGGGACAATCGGTCAGAGGAAAAATAATACCAAATTGAAACTCAGTATCACATCTAGTTAAGGAGCTCTGGTAGCGTAGTGGTTACGAATCGGGCTGCGAACCACAAGGTCAGCAGTTCGAAACTATCAGCTGTTCCGTGGGAGAAAGATGAGACTTTCTGGTTCCGTAAAGATTTATAGCCTCGGAAACCCTGTGCAGGGTCGCTATGGATCGGAACCGACTCCAAGGCACTTAACAACAACAATCATATCTAGTTAAGCTAAAATCTGAGGACCTTCTACGTTGAGGGCTCCCGGTCTAGGGTCCTTGACCCCCGCAAGTTTCAGGCCCCGGGAGAGGTTCCGAGGTGGGTCGAGTTCTGAAGTCCCAGGCTAGAAAGACCTAGCCGCACTTTCCGTTACTTTCCTCCGTCGTTTCTAGAGCGATTTCAAACTTTGCCTTCCAAGACCAGGAGCTTTTCCAAGAACCCCTGGCGCCCAGAGTCGCGCCCAGGTAGGTGCAAGGGGGTGAGCCAGGCAGAAGGCCGGCAGAAGCGGGGCGGGGTCTGGAGCGGGGCCACCCCCCGCGCCCTTCTCCAGGGGAGCTCCAGTTTCCTGCGAGCGTGCACCGGGCGCATGGAGGCTACTGGGGAGCCAGAGCCCGTGGAGCCAAGCCCTGGGGCCGATCCCGAGAGTCGCGGCACGCGCTGCTTGCGGCTGTCCGGTTTCCGAGGGGAGCTGCGGGCGCTCTTGGTCCTGGCGGGCCCGGCGGTAAGGTTGCCTCAGACAGAGGTCGGTACGGGACGGACGGAGCGCGGGTCGGGTGACTGGATCGGCCTGTGTGTGACGCGAAGCCAGTGCAGGGGGCGGCTGACTGGGGCGCCTGGTCCACCGGCGCAGAAGCGCAACCCTGCCCCGGGTTCCTGCCTCCTGCGTGAGGACGAGTGGGAGCCCACCGTGCCTGCGGAGCGCGTCTCACTCCGCCCCGGCTGCCTTCTCTGAGTTCAGCCTAACCTGCTTTCTGAATTCAAGCCTGGGAAAGAAGGAAAAGTTACAGCTTGAAAGCTCGGGGAAACTTGATTTGTTTGAAAACTAGCCGTGGATAGAGTCCCAGAAGTTTAGAGATCTAAGTCATTATTCTGGATTTTTGGAAGAAGAAGGTTTGTTGTTGTTTGTAAGCTGTGGTGGCACATTTAGACTCACAGCGACCCCGTGCGTGTCACTATAGAACTGTCATCCAGAGGGTGTTCAATGGCTGATTTTTTTTAGTATTTCACCAGGCCTTTCTTCTGAAGCACTTCTGGGTGGATTTAAACTTCCAGCGTTTCAGTTAGCAGCTGAGCATATTGACCTTACCACCACCCAGAGACTAGTCTCCAGTTATTTCATTTGTGCTTTAGTCCAGCACTTCCTCACCGAACCTTTGTCTGCCAGGTGTAACTCTGTCTCTGATGTAGGGGACCTGCTGGGGTCTCCAGGGATCCACACATGCCATTTGTGCTTATCCCTGTTTGTGTGTGTAGATATGTATGCACACATGTATATTATGGTGTTTGTTGCAAATGTTACATGTTCATTGTGAAAATAATAAGAAGATTAAGACAAACGAAAGATGAAGCAATCACCAAAAAATAACTGACATTTTCCTGCCTGACTGTATGACTGCTTTATCCAAATGAATCCTATAGGTAGGCACCTGCATTAGTCTCTTATAAGATGTATGTGGACGCTCTCTTGATCACTTTTCATCTTTATTTCCATCTAAGGAGCTCTGGTAGCATAATGGTTATGAATCAGGCCCCTAACTTCAGGGTCAGCAGTTCGAAACTACCAGGTGTTCCACGGGAGAAAGATGAGGCTTTCTGTTCCTGTAAAGATTTACAGCCTGGGAAATCCTGTACAGGGTCGCTATGAGTCGGAACCGACTCCACGGTGCATTCAACAACTGTTAGTTTGCTATTTCTGGAGGGCACAGAACAGGAGGAGGTTATCCTTTCTTTTCCAATGGATGTTTGAAGTCCAATGATTTTACCTCCAAGTTCCCATCATAAAATAGGTTGCATACCTTATCTGATGGAGTCCTGGTGTGCTGCTGTAGGTAAGCACTGGACTGCTAACTGCTATCCTTGGAAACCCTATACAGGATTGCTATGGGCCAGAACCGACTGGCTAGAACTTACTAACAACAACAGTGCCTTGCCTGGTATTTATTTCTCTCTCCCGTTCTCCATCTGCTCTATCATCCTTTGAGAATCCAAGAAATTATTCAGGCTAAGTGAGGACTTTCTGAGATTCTCTTCCACGGAGCTTTGACTGAGGCCTGAAGGAGAATAATGCATACATACTGCAAAGGAAATAATATGAGATGAATAATATAAATCTGTATATTACCCTGTGGGGAGCTTGGTGTGGCGCTGTGGGCTACTGCTCTGGACTGCAGAGTTGGTTTGAGCCACAGGGTCGGCTGTTCAAGCTCACCAGCTGCTCCTTGGAAACCCTATACAGGGTTGTTATGGATCGGAACTGACTCCATGGAGCTTAACAACAACAACAAAAGACAGCTTTAGGAAAACATGTATTTGTGACGGAGGAAAACTAATAGTTGAAGATCATTTCGCTTCTGCAATTTCAACTATGTTTATGCTCTATCTTGAATTGTGGTGTTGAAGGAGAATACTAAAAGTGCCATGGGCTGCCAAAAGAACCAATAGATCTGTTTTGGAAGAAGTGCAGCCAGAGTGCTCCTTGGAGGACAGGATGGCCAAACTTCGTCTCTCATACTTTGGACATATTGTCAGGAGGGAACAGTCGCTAGAAAAGGATGTCATGCTGGGTAAGATGGAGGGTCAGAGAAAAAGAGGAAGATCCCCAATGAGATGGATTGGCCAGGTGGCATCATTGATGGCATCGAGTGTGACAGCAGTAGTGAGGTTGGCCCAGGATCAGACATTGTTTTGTTCTGCTGTGCATGGGGTCGCTATGAGTCGGTTCCGACTCGATGGCACCTGACAACAACAACAACAATTAGCATCTCGCCACCTACCTTAATTGTCAGACTTCTGAAAAATAATTCCAAAGATTTATTGCTCCCTTTGGACATGGACTGCCCTAAGCATTGCTAGGTATTCAGAAGTAGAACAGCTCAGTCTGAGGGAGAGGAACCCACCTGTGAGAGCTAGTCCTCCTTCTGTGCTTAACTGCAGAACAGAATTACCAGAGACTACCCTGCCTCTGGTAGCGTAGTGGTTACGAATCGGGCTGCGAACCGGAAGGTCAGCAGTTCGAAACTACCAGCTGCTCCGCGGGAGAAAGATGAGGCGATCTGCTCCTGTAAAGATTTACAGCCTCGGAAACCCTATTCAGGGTCGCTATGGGTCGAAACCGACTCGACGGCACTTAACAACAACAACAACAACAACCCTGCCTCTATGATAAGCAAGGAACTCTGATAGTGCAGTGGTTTCCAGTCGGGCTGCTAACTCCAGAGTCAGCAGTTCGAAACTACCAGCTGTTTTGCAGGAGAAAGATGAGGCTTTCTGCTCCCGTAAAGATTTACAGCCTTGAAAACCTTAGAGTCAGACTGACTCCATGGCACATAATCACCACCACCATACGATAAGCACTGGACTACGAACCATAAGGGCCATGGTTCAAGCCTTCCAGCCACTCCCATTTAGCTGTCTATATCTCAGCTCATGGTGTCCATATGTGTGTGAGAGTAGTAATGTGTTCTATAGGGTTTTCAATGGCTGGGTTTGTTGTTGTTTACAAGTAAATAACCAGGCCTTTCTTCCTAGGTACCTCTGAGTGAACTTGAACCATCAACCTTTCAGTGAACAGTAGGACACGTACTGTGCACCACCCAGGAACTCCGCAGTCGGGATTTGTTCTTGGTTGTCGAGTCAGCTCTGACTCATGTTAGCTCTCTGTGTGCAGAGTAGAACTGCTATAAAGTTTCCAGGCTAGGACCCTGCTGAAGCAGGTGGACAGCCCTGTCTGTCCGCGTGTCTCTGAGTGAGTTTGAACCACCAACCTTTTGGTTACTAGTTGAGAGCTTAACCATTTGTGCCACCCATGGATTCCTGCAATTAGGACCACAAAATTATGGACTAGTCATTTGAATGTTACCCTATAAGTAGTAAAGAAATTCTTAGCAGTGAGTGCTTAGTGACAGATAGGAGATTTAACAGGAGACAGTTGATAGAGTCAGGAGATAATCTAGGCCAAATGTGATGAAGGTCCAAATAGAGAAGATTGTTCATCAAAGGATGAATAGGGGTGAATATTCAGTGATGGATGGGGACAGTTTGGCAGAGGAAACCTGGGAGTGGCCCGGACACTCCGTCTTCCTCATTTCCTCTTTTCTAAATACCTCTTGGAAACTCTGGGTCATGTAAATAGTTAACACACTCAGTTACTATCTGAAAGGTTGGTGGTTCAAATCCATCCAGAGGTACCTCAGTAAAAAGGTCTGATGTCAGCATTGACTTGATGGTTTTCAGGGGCAGTTGTGGCTTACTGATAGAATTCTCACCTTCATGTATGGGAGTTCTGTATCTGGCCATTGCACCACCTGTCTGTCAACATAGTCTGTGTATTGCTAGGATGCTAAACAGGCTTCACTGGAGCTACCAGATTATAATGGACTAACTAGCAAGAAAGTCCTGGCAATCTATTTCTGAAAATTCAGCCAGTGAAAACCGTGTGATGCATAATGGTCTGGTCTTGTTGTACATGGAGTCACAGTGAGTTGGGGACAGCTAACAACAACAGATACCTTTCCACTGGATCCACTTCTACTGTGGAGAAGGGGGTTGTGCCAGATGACCTTTCAGGTGACCCTTGCTGCTAAGAGTGAACTTTCAGACATCAGGGGAGAGGAGTTAGGAAGGAGTCTTTCCCAAGTCCTTTCCCTAACCCATTGGCAGGTTTATCGAGGTTCCTCTCCAGGCATTTGGTCTTACAGAACTTCCCGTATCACTTTATCTTCAGCCAGCCTTGTGGATTGCTGCCTGGTCAAAACATGAGCAGCATCTCTGTGACAAGTAAGGACAGAAGCCGTTAGTCGTTCCTCACTGCCAGTGGAGCTGCCATCAAGACACTGAGACTAACAAACTTTTATCCTGAAGTTGCTCCTTCCCTGGGCTCAGCAGTATGCATTCTGAAGGGTCTGGAGCATTCTCAGTGTGCTCCTTGGCCATCCGGATCTTGATTGAGTGTGTTTTAGAGTGGGAGTTGAGGTTACACTGAAAGATAGAGTCTTTGGTGTGTTGATACAGAGTCAGGCAAAGCATGTAAACAATCTCTGCAGATGACCTAGGTATACAATCTACGGTCAAAAGCTTACACAAAGTGCCTGGAATCAGGATCTGAGAACCAAGTAAGTGGTTAGTTAGCAAATGCTACTTTGCTAGTGCCACGAGTGGGTAGCTGTATAAAACAGACATTTATTTTCTCCCAGTTCAGGAGGCTGAAGTCTGAATCCAGGGCCCGGGCTCTAGGAGGCAGCTCTCCCTTTCTGCTGGCTCTTGGGGGAAGAGCTACACGTGGCAGCCGTCTGCCTTCATTTGTGCTTGCTTCTTTCTGTGACTGTACTGCTCCTTATGTTAGAAATGAATCCCGATGTCGCGTAAAAGACGCTCGGTGAGACTAAATTACCTTGGCAAAGTAAAATTTACTCTTGCAAGAGGTTGCGTGCGCATAGCCGTACATACACGAACAGGCTAGCGAGCACACCGAGTGAGCAGTCCGCTTGGGATTTTAATCCCTGA